TTTGACATGAGTGAATTTTCTACTATTGACTGGGGTTGTAGGCTTGCTTTTTATTTGTTTTGGAATAACTACTGGCAGTGGAGGTACAGTGGAGTAATGGATAGTTGCTCGGATTGAGGAATCAAAGAGCCAAGTTCAAATTCCAGTTGAAACCATTAGATTCACTTACATGCTAATACCATTGGGAAAGCTACAAATCCTCTTCTCTCCCCAAATATGGGTAAATAGCAAGACAGACCGGATTCTATAGTCTTGAATGACAACTGGTCTACAGCGGGAAGAAATATGATCACCTAAGCATGTATCACACATTGCACATAACTGACTGACTGGCTCCCAGGCTTAGGGATTTTGAAAGCTAAATAGAACCATTTGATTGGTTAATTATTCTATCAAGTGTTATCTACTATGTCCACCAAAATCAAACTAGCTCAAGTGAAGCTAATTTTCTTTTTTCTTTCAAGAAAACAGGTACAAGTGTTATTATTATTTTTAATTCTCTCTAGTTGGTTGCAAAATGTTTATGATGTCTCCTGCCATAGGTCAATTGTTGTGTGGAGATACATGTGTGTATTACCCCATGACTAACTTTATTTTGTCTAGGTGGAGTGGTTTTTTTTTTGTTTTTTTTATGTTCAAAGAGTTTTTCTTTCCCAAAGATTTCAAACTTATAATTGTCATTTTTATTCCTTTTTGCTTCCTCCAATGATCCAATTAGGGCAGTTTAATTTTTCACTTTTTTTTTTAGAAAATTGACATTGCACTTGGTGTGAAAGTTGGGATTTGATGTGAAAAGTAGTGACACCAAAAATTAAATTTTTGGCTTTTACCAATTTCAAGCATTTAGTTTTAAAGATCATCTGAAAAAATATACAGAAATAGTTCCTGCAGGTTTTGGTTTACAAAGTGACTTCAAAATTTTACTACTTCAAGAATAAATCGATTTCAAGTTGATATTTTTTGTATTAGATACTTTGAATGGAAAATATATTCAAAGCAGAATTCTAATTATGAATCACTACAAGTAAAATAAGCAATTTTTTAAATGTATTTGATAAGTAAAATCTTTAAAAAAAAAAAAATGTAAAAGATTACAAAAAACAGCAATGAATAAGATTTGTTAGATCATGATTAATAAAGACAAAAATAGATAAAAGCATATATAACAGCTGGGTATCATTATAAGACAAAATATTTTAATGTTTCCCTGTGAGCTATAATCTCCAGCTATTCAAGTGTAATGTCAATCAACATCTCCAGTTGCCTTGATCTATCCACTACCCTCATCCTTTCTTTTATCACTCCTATCTGATCTTGCTCTAAATTTTCTGTGACCCCTTGTGTGCTAGTGGCTTCTCGCCTTGCTTGGGGTGAAATGCTTAAAAAAAAAAATTTACATTGTTAGTAATAATATGCTTGTGCAATGCATCTTGTCCATATACAATTTGTAAAGCTTCGGTAAATTATAATTTTTTTAAGGTTGTGCTATAAAGCTTTCACTGATCACTAAAATGAAATTCCAATGCTATGATTTTAAGCCTAAACTTAATCTTTAAACTCATTTCCTCAAAAAACGGTAATGAGTTGGAAGAAAATATTTTGTCATTATTCATCATGCCAAATCCAACTTTAAAATTGAGTGCAATACCACATCTCCAAAATCAACCTGCCTTGGAGGCCTAGGAAATGAGATTTGGTCATGTTATATAAGCTCAATATTTAAACAGTGTTTCAGAACGTGGACAATCACCGTTCTCCCACAACTTCATATTCTTTATAGCTTTTAGCAATAGTGGTATTTTTGCTACCCCCCCTTTCCCTGTTCTGCCATCCTTGTTAAATATGACACTTGCTGTTTCCTTCTCTCTTGCCTTCAGTATGCCCTTTTGAGTGCCAAACATTCCAAGCCCTCTTTCATCATTATGTGCCCTAGAAATTTTCGCTCTTTCTGAAGATATGTGTCCTTTTTCTTCCATTTTCTCTAAAACTTCATTGTTGCTCACATGATCGGTCCCTGATATTCTCAGCATCCTTCTGTAGAACCACTTTTCTACCGCTTCAAGTTTCTTCATCTGTGAGGAGATTGTCCAGTATTCACAGGAAGATTGATATTATGTCACAGTTCAGCAGTCTTTTCTTTGTTTCTAATGAAATTTTCCCGTTTCTTAATACATTGCTAATCTTTTGAAAGGCAGATTTTGTTATCTCAATGCACTTTCAGATATCAGTGTTGCACTTTCCATCCTCTGTAAAGATACTTTCTTGATATTTAAATTGTTGTACTTGCCTGTTTTTGGTATCTCTAATTTCTAATGTGCATGTTGGGCTGTTTCTTTTTGTTAACAACCATGCAGGTAAAGTCTTTTATTTCCCTTAAACATTCCTCATTGTTCACATTCTGTCCATGACATTCTCTGTAGGATGACATCTCTGTTACCTCAAGTCTTGTCTTAATCTCTGAGAAAATTGTCCAGCATTCACTGCCATATTGGAGGATTGATAGTACATAGAAATTCATCGCTATTTTCTGTGTTTCTAACAAAATTTTCACATTTCTTAATACTTTCTTTAGCTTTTGGAAGGCACCTTTTGTTATTCCAATGCAACTTCATATTTTGGTGGCATATTTTTTGTCATCTATTAAAACACTTCCCAGATATTTAAATTTCTGTATTTGATTTTGTCATCTCCAATTTGTAGTTTGCATCTTGGGCTGTTCCTCTTGCTGTCAACTATATGCTCTGTCTTCTTAGAAATTAAGTTCTTTAAAATCTTTCACAATAAAACTCAAAAGAACAATTTCTATTTAAATTAACCACGCCATTTATTACTACAATTTGCATGCTCTTGGTTGTTTCTGCTATAATAAAAACAACCAATTGTGAAAGATTTGAAAGAATTTACTCTCTTCTCTAAAGAAAGTATATTTACAAGGTTATTTCTATGTGAGAACATTTTATAATGGCCATGTGTTAAAAAGATACTTTTTGGAATTAACATTGACCTTGTATACTATCAGCATCTATTGAATATTCTCTCTTAATTTAACTTGAAGCTGTAAATTTCAGCTTAATTGTATCAGTTTTGTGATTATTAACATAACTCAACCCTTAATGTCCCATTGAACAAAAGATTTTCTTCTTTCCCCAAGAATAAAATGGATTTCCTTTAATAAATCTTTTTGTTCATCTTTCTTATGGAGGGTGGACAACAGACATTAACTGCAGTGGAAATAAACAAAAAACTTGTCTTGAATAAAAGCAAATAGATAAAACCAGTATTTACATTATTTACATTCAAACTTGTTCCATATCTTTGCTGTTGCTATCACCATGTTTTGGCTGTTATACTCTCCAGTCATCTTCAGGTGCCTGTCAACCTGGGTAGTCTTCAGGGAATTTTCAAGCTGAACCTTTTTTAATTAAATGATAGGACAATGTGCAGGTGGTGTAATGGATAGCAGGTTGGAATGAGAAATTGGAGAGCTGAGTTTGATGCAAATGCCCTTGGGAAAGTTATGAGGCCATATTTTCTCCTGGGTTAAATAGTATGACGTGTATCTGGAAAAAAATCATTATCTCCCCCTAAAATTGTTAATGCAATATTCACTTGCAAAAGAAAAAAGTTATTCATACAGTCCAAAATATGTTTCAGCTTTGAAATAACCCCAAAAGTATTATGTCAAAAAAATAAATAAAAAGAAGATACCCCCCAAACAAATCAATCGATTAATCTATGGGGGTAGATTTTTTTTTTTTTTGTTTTGCTTTCCATGCCTAGGGATGTCTCATTTTGTTCTTTTTCAGTACTGTTGCCTTATTTCCCACCCTTTTTTCACTGATCTACGTCCATACTAACCAGGCCAGGGATTGAGCTCACTATTACTATGCTACCAAATTCACAAACCAATATGGGCACTAAAATGAGAAAAATCTAGCCCCATAGATTAAATGTTTATGTGAAGAAGGCAAGGGGACACAATAGCCAGAAGATGATAATAACAACAAAAATGAAGATATCAGTCTGAATATAAATAATGATAATTCCTCATCCCAGAAATTCAAACAGAAATAAAGCCAATACCAACCAAAGTTGAAATGTTCCCATAATTATCATAGGTAATATTTTTTTTTTTCTAATTCATGATCCCATTTTTGCAGTTAAAAAAAAAAAAAAAAAGTTTCCCAGACAATCATTGAAGTTAAGCAATGTTGAGCTTGATCAATACTTTGATGGGTGATTTCTTGGTAATACCAAGTGCTGTAAGCTTGGATTTACAGGTCATGTAATGGATAATGGCTTGGAATTGTTAATCAGAGAGCCCAGTTCCAATTCCAGTTGTGTTCATTATATTCACTTGTGCACAAACAGCCTTGGGAGAGGTATGAATCCACCTGATCTCTCCTCCAGCTATGGGTTAATTAAGGACTCATATCAGTAATTCCTTATCTCCCCCAAATTCTTACACTCTAAAAATATTTTCTGGCTTTAAATAATCTGATAAGCTGCAAAAAAAAAAAAAACATGAATCGATCAATGGTTTGCAAATGCCACTTCTCCCTCAGCTATAGGTTAATTATTAAAATTTGTATCACTAAACCATTATTATCTCAAAAAAAAATATTTTCTGGTTTTAAATAACCTGCAAAAGGGTTGATAAGCCGTAGAAAATGAGTGAATTGATCAAAAAAAGAAATGAAGAAAAAAAAAAGACCAATTGGTTTTATTTGTGCTATGATAGATATAACTACACAAAAACTATTGTAAAAAAAATGATCAGGTTGAACATTATTTTGTAATTTTAAGTATATTTTTTTTTCTTGTATTTAATATTTGCAATTTAATTCACTGACTGCAGTTTCTGTTTGTTGGTAATGTAGAGGAGATTCACAAATGATTTTGATTTTAATCTTGAATTAGAATCCTCATCAGCCTATTATACCAATAACCAAATAATGTAATTTACTTAGAGGTCTTTATTTTTTTAAATACTTTTTAAGGACCTCCAAGAAAAGGAATTCGTCCTGTTGAAAGAGAACGTATGAGGGATTGGCTCTGTCGACATTTAAATGCTGCTTCCATTCCTGGTCTCTATTGGCTTGAAAAGAAGAAACTTATATTTCGTATCCCTTGGAAACATGGTTCCAGTCAGAACTGGACAGAAGATGATGCTGAATTGTTTGTAGAATGGGCAAAACATACAGGTAAGTTTTCCTTTAAATTTCTCATTTGAAATCTTTGATTTACTATAGTAGATATTATTGGAATAAAAGTATATATACTATAGTAGTATACTACACACATGTGTAGTGAGTCTTTGAACATGGCTGGTCATGGGACAGATGATGATGCTAAGCACCCACATACACAAAGGGTTAATTGCATAACTGGACTAAATTTTGATTACAAAGTTTAACTGTATAATGCTTGATCTGTGTGATTAACATTCATCACTGAATTAAAAGCCTTGACAAGGAAGAAGTATGGAAAAATATTTTTTTTTCTAAAATGAATGCTTGTAATCCTCATTAAGCTATGAACTTATTGATATGCATATATACAAGTTATACTAGACCATTCAAAACATTGTTTAATCTTCTTTGGTTAATCATGCTTCATCTGCATTTGACTTGTAAACTAATGTTAGTATAATTTGTAGCAATCCAACTTCAAGGAGACAATGTGTCCATTCAATGTTTCAAAAAAACAAAATATTCCAGGCCTAACTGAAAAACTGTAAATATTGCTTTTTGCATAAGTGTGTGTTGTGTGTGTTTAGTACACATTATCATTCTGTTGGATTTTGATCCTGACTGACTCTATCTATCTATCTATCTATCTATCTATCTATCTATCTATCTATCTATATATATATATATATATATATATATAATGAAAATCCTAATGAGCCAGGTACTACCTACCTAGGTTTCACCACATGGGAACATCAGGGTGAGTTTAAATATTTACATATATATATATATATATATATATATATATATATATATATATAAATTTTTTTATTGTGAATCAATGTTATAACAAAATTGGTATTAACCAAGCAATGTTAGTAAAAATATTTGCAATAAATTTATAAATGTAATATATTTTGTGAATTTCAGCTTATAAAATCTCTCCCAATTAAAAATATTGATATTGTTTTGTGAATGTTAGGTTTGATTATGCAAACAAAGTCAGTGCAACAAAATTGTTTTCTTAATTTTGTTTTTTATAAATTGAAAAGATAGAGGCCATAGGAACATATTTGATTTTCCCATATTCTTATTTTCCTATTTAAATGTTAATATGATGTTCTATCCCCTTTCATCAATCTTTCTAGTCATTGATTTTCTTAACTTTTCTACTGTTTTGACTTTAACATTACATGCATCGGTTCTTGTTGCTCCCAAAGAACTTCTTTGTTTGAATATTCTTTAAAATTAAATTTAGCAACTTAAAAATTTTTAAACTCAAAATTTAGCATTCCCTCATCTTAAGCACTTCCTTTTGATATATAATTATAACTGATGGTCACATTTATATAACCCCTCCTACACATATATAAGTCTTTCAATCATTACTTTTGTACAATGAAGACCTAGAGGATGTAATGTGTTCCACAGAATTCTTTAATAGGTTCATCATAAGGCATTCTAATAGGCCTAATAATTCACTACCACTTTTTCCAATCTTTGCACAAATCTTTATCTTAGTTTGCTGCTCCAGATTCCTTTCACTCATTTTCCATCAACAGTATATGAACATGTGCAACTTCCTCTACTGCTCAGCAAGGAATGACTCATCTAGTCTCTGTCTCAAGAAAGCAGAAGTTGAACATGTGTTTTGGTATATTTGTCTGAATCATTACCCCAGTGACATGCTGCAGTTCTTCTGGGAATTAATTTGTTATATTTCTCATATACTTGAATAACACAATATGGCATATACTGGAATAAATTACTATTTTATCATTTTTATATAGACTCCTTGACATTTTGTTTATAACTTTCATCAGTATTCTAACAACTGCTTTTATTAACTTTTTTACTCTTTTTGATTTGAATGTTGCTTAAAGCAGTTTTTATTGCTTCCCAAATATCTTTGAATGTTTTCTATTCTCATGTCCATCTCTTTTAATGACTTTGCATTTTCTATTGGATTAATACCTAGAGAGGCTGGATGCCATTACCATTAATTTGGTGATTTAAATTATTTTTTTTTTTCCAAAGTGAATAATAGTCAGCTTTTCAGAATGTGAAGATGTTTTCTTGAATGAACATATTTAGATGAAAGTTTCTTTGTTGTACCTTGTACTGCTAAAAGAACTTAATAATTCTCTGCATTTATCTTGATACCACCATCATCAGCTTTGAAGAGACCTAGAATTTTACTACTTACAATACTAACATTACTCCATTTCCACAGTGTTGTCTTGGTTGACTATTTCACTGAAGGACCCATCTCCTAATCCAATAATCTGATCCATCCAATGTAGCTCTACATTCATTATTAAAAAATACTATGGAGAAAACAGTTTCCGTGTACTTTTTTATTCAACGTACATTTTTTTTGTCATGTGATTGGTTGTTTACATTCATGTCTAATGTTCTTAAAATTCTACTCTTTTTTCTATTTACATTCACAACACCATGTTCTTAAAATAATTTCATTTGGGTTCATTTATTTTTCTTGCTTATTATTCTTTTAATTTTAATATTCAGATCTCTCTTTTTTTTTTTTTTTTTTTTTTTTTTAAAGTCATTTTTGTTTCCTTGTTCTGATCTTGCCAATATCTTCAGTTTCTTTTGCAATTGTCCTATGATCTTCATTCAGCATTTTGTAATTTTCAATGTTTTGTTCTCATTACTCAATAAGTTTTCTCTTTTTCAGGTTACTGTATATACTAGCATATCATGTGACTTTGGAAGACCTAATTTCCAAGCTAATTTTAAGAGGGTCACATCATACATGGATATATAATATTAGGACAGGTACTGCTGGCCCTAGCTACAATGTTGACCAAACTATATATCCATTTACTGTAGTTAAATTAGCTTCAAAATCAGGTCTTCAAAAGTTACATGATACACAAGTATATACAGTATATCTTTCTTTTGACACATAATCTTTGTATATTGAAAAAATAAATGCCAATACCTATGCCATTATAAATACTAGCAAATAAATAATTATAAATATTTGTGTATAAAAATAAAAAACTGAAATTCATATTGTATATTTATCATATAAATACAAATATGTTCTAAAAGTTTTACCGACATTAGTTGGTTTACACTTATTTTCCTTGTCTAATTTGAAATAGGACACACACAATCTTGAAATCATAAGTCATCATGACTGAGTATTTTTTGTGTACTGGCTTTGTCCAAACTATTGATCATGCCAGATTATACACACTCCACCAGAAATTGTAACTAAGGTCTGCTCAGTATAGGTGCAAAATAAACTATCAATTGGTTCAGCGGATGTTCAGAAAGCACGAATGTGCCTGAGTGGATGTCTGTAGCAGGGATTAACTAGTCACCCAAGTGGACATGTGTGTTTAGAACCAAGCAGCCAGCTATTTGGCATACACACACACACACACACACACACACACAGTAGTCAACTTTCACTGTAAAATAATTCCGATTTACACATGTATCCTGATTCCAAGTAAAGTTTATGGCCATATTATGTTGAAACATTGGTTCCTGTATGATCACCAAAGTTAAGCAACATTGAGCCCGGTTCATTTCTAGGTGGGTGACCACTTGTAAACTTGGATGTGCCAGTGGTGTAATGGATAATGACTCGAAGTTCCAATTCCAGTTGGGTTTGTTATATTCACTTACCTGCAAATACCATTGGGAAAGGTATGAATCCATCTTTTCTCCCCTCACCTATGGGTTAATTAGTAAGACTTGTATAACTGATTATTATGTCAAAAAAAAATTTTTACAATCTAAAAATATTTCCCGGCTTTAAATAACCAACAAAGGGTTGATAAGCCATAGAAAATGAATGAATCAATCAAATGATTCTCTGTACATAGTTTTAAACTGTTTTCTAGCCATTTTCTTTTCTTTTTTTTTTTTTTTTTCCAGGAAGGTATTATCCTGACACGGACAAAGGCAAAGGAAAGTTGAACACAAAACGCTTTAAAGCAACGTTTCGTTGTGCACTCAACAGTCTTCCAGACTGTCAAGAACTTTCAAAACTAAATAACAAAGCTGGATCAAATGCTTTCAAAGTTTATCAATTCAGCTGCGACAGTAAGTGTTTCTCTCTTCTGTTTCTATTTATTAAAAAGGAAAGTTAGATTTGTTTATTTTTTTTTTTTTAATTTTTTGCTTTGATTAATTGTTAACTAGTAGAAGTACCCAACCTTGATTGGGTTTCAATAGTCATTTCTGCTGACATTTGTGTTTCAATTGCCTGAAAAAAAGATGTTGACAATTCTCAATTGGTCTAGAAATGTTGATTCTTTGAAAATTGTTGCTTCCAACATATGAGGATAATAGTTTTATTTATCTTTTATACAAAACAAATAAATAAATATAAGATCTAAAATGAAACTCTGCTCTTAAAAAAAAAAAATTTTTTTAATTTTCATGAGAAATTTTTTTTCAAAAATAGTGTAATAATCTACATAATCATTGTGTACTTTTCATTTAAGAACTTTATTCAATGTCACTTGCATCGTTTATTCCTATTCATGCTTTTCCCAAGAGTATTAGTGCAAAGTGAATGCAGATTATTCCTATAGAAATTTGAACTTATACCACAAATTTTATTTTCCATGCTGCTAACCACTTCACCAATTGCACTCCCACCACTTTATTTGTATTAATTATTTATTTACTTTTTTAAAAAATGAATGTGTTTGTATAGATGCCTACAATTTGTGCAGTTTGGCTGGAATTAGCAGTTTTGTCCCTAAAATAATCTGTGGTGGCCTTTACTGACCCTGGAGGTCAGTGATACTTCTCATGTACATCCTAGAGTCAAGTTACTCATATAGATTAATTCTTGTCTCACAAGGTACAGCATTTTGGCCAGCTATAAGATACATATATGAGAAAACAAGAGCTGACTTTATAGCAAAAGATAAATTGGAGTTGATTTCATTATTTGGGTATCACTATTTTTCAAAGCTGACTGGCAATTAAAAATTACTTTTTAAATTTTAGGCTACATAATATTTTGAACTTAAGTTACAATGTACTGTATATTATAAAATCAAATATGTAATTTCTGTCAGAATATCAGTTTTTACATTCAGATGAATGTTCACTTTGTTATTGTTATCACAACATTTGAGACCTTGTATTTTGATCTGGGTAACCTTCAGGAAATTCCAAAATGAATTAAATAGTTATTTATTCCACAGGGGTAGATGTCATTTTGCTGTCCATATCTAGGGATATTTCTTTTACTACTGTTCAGTTATTCCTAGTACTTTTTCCACTGAGTCTGTGCTACCCAGGGATTGAACTCATAATTATTATGTCAACAAATTCATGAGCCAACACTTTACCAATAACATAAATAATCATATGTATTGGTTGTAAATTTGCAAATTTAGGTTGATGTATGCTTTTTCTATGTAACTTTTGTATTTCTATAGCAGAGCATATGGCCTGGTACACTTACATGGATTGAATATTATTAAAACTAAAATGCTTTCTTATAACTTGAATGAATTTGTTTATGGAAAATTATATATGAGTGAAAGAGTATGTTTTGACGGTGACAATAGTTGTTTGTTAAGGCTGCATTAAAAACTGTTAAATTATATATTTAGGTTTTTATTAAATGTTTGAATTTAATTTTCATTATTAATTTGAATTTTTTTTTTTTTTTTACAATTTTATCATTCTAAAACATTAAAAAAATGGCTAAATCGCTAAAAACATTTGAAAATTTTAGTTTAGTAAACTTACGAAAATATTTTGAATTCTGAAATTTAAATGTAAATAATATCTTATCTTTTTCGGGAGCGGTGGGGGTGGTTTACAAAGGTCAACTTTAGGGTTCTGACATAAGTACAACATTTTTGATGTTTTTTTTTTTTTTTTTTTTTTTCAAACTTTTTGGGGTGTAAAATGTTTAGGGTTGATTGGCTGGTTGAGATTTTTTTTTTTTTTATAGAATAGTGATAGAAAACTTGTTAATATGAGGTGCCTAATAGAAAAGAAGTTGGGGGTTGTCTTTTTTTTTTTTTTTTTTTTTTTAGGAAATTTTCAAAGCTTATTCAAACCACTCTTAATAATTATTAAGTTTGTTATGTAAATTTATTGTAAATTGATCCCCCTACAAAAGCCAAAAGAAAATATGCTCATACCACAGGATTTCTGAAAATTAAAAACAAAAATTTTTCTAAAATTTTGTAATATGTAGTGTTTCTTCATATATCTTAATTAAGCACACCAGAATATGATATTTCTAAAAAAAATTTAATTTTTATAATTTCAAGAAACCATATGATATGGGCTTATTGTATTTTGGCTTCTGTAGTGGGTGGGTTCAATTTACAATAAATTTACATAATAAAATGGATTCCTATATTAACTTTTATAAAATAAACAAAACTAAAAATTTGTTATTTGTGATTAGGAGTTTTTAAGCTATAGTAATTTGAAAAAAAAAAATGATTATTTCTGACTCTATGTTCACCAAATTTTGTAGCCAAGAATTGCCTAAACATTAGCATATTTATTGTTTTTTTTTTTTTTTTTTTTTTTTTTTTTTCTTTTTCTCTTGCAGAAGATACTTGCCCTTATAAAAAGAAAAAATCTGGCAAAGTGACTACTGTATGTTGTGATAAATCTGTTGAGTGTAATGAAGGAGATACAGCTTCCATCGTGGAGGCATCTGATACCTGTACTGAAGACCAAACCTCCAATCAATGCAATCCAGAAAAGACGTCTGATACTTGTGACAGTAACGAAACCACACCACCAAGTCAAGAAAACCCACCAAAATTAAATCAAGATGAAAGTCATTCAGTACTACCAGAGTCTTCAGATAATTGTACTCCATGCCAGATCTCTGATCCCAATCCTACCCAGTCAAACTCCAGCTTTGACGACCTGTCCATCAGTGAAAATGATGTGGCAAACACGCTTCTTGAGTTACAGAGAGGTGCTGTATCAAAGCTTTTAAAAGAAAAGGAGATGTCCCAGTCACAACCACAAGTAATACAGAACCCTCTCCAGTCACCAATGCTGCCAGTAGCACAATTACCAGTGTCACACATACTGCCATCACAGGTGTCTGTTCCACCACAGTCCCAGGCACAGATTTATTCTCAGCCAGTACTACGTTCACAAATAGCAAAACCAGTGTTACAGCCTCAGATGCAGTCAGTTCAGGTCTTGCAGTCACAACTGACAACCCACAGAGAAATACACCCAACTCAGTCGATAACCTATGAGCAAACCTCTACCATGACAGTTGCTCATCCAGTTCCTTCAACTATGCCATCTGTTTTCCCGCTTGTTCCTGCCGTGGTTCTACCATATAACCCACCTCCATCTCATTCCGAACCTCAAATGGCGAAAGTTTGTATGATTCCAGCTATTGTCTCATCTACAGCTACCCAGATGATGAATATTCATTCCAATTCCTTTGACAGTCCAACTCCACAGTTAGTTCCTGTTGCAGCCCCAAGGCTATCAGCTGCACCTTTTAATACTCCTGCCTCTATGTCAGAAGCCCCAGGTCAGTAACTCAAGTGTCTGTTCGTTGGAATTTCTGGACAAGTTTTTTTTTTTTTTTTTTATTATTATTATTATTTTTTTTAGCAAGTATTAGGGTGTTTGGAAAGTAATTATATTTTGACAGAAAGGATAAAAAAAGAAATGCAAGTTAAATTTACTTATTAAAGTATTCAAGAAGGAATATTTTTACCAGAAAGGATATAAAAATAAATTAAATTTATTTAATTATTTATCCAAAATGTAATCATCATTTTCAAGAACAGCAAGGCAATTTTTTTGATTTCTAATTTAAATAAATCTGTACAATCTCCCCCCTCCCTTTCCACTGAAAAATTTGAAAGGCAGTTTTCAACTTTGTTTCTGAATGTTCTGCCACTGATGAAATGTTCTTGTGATTGAAACAAATAAAAATCTACAGGTGCAAAATCTGATGAGTATAAGTAAGCAGAAGAACTTCTTGCCCTAACAATCATATTTTTCTTGAATTTATTTTGCAATGTGCCCTTGCATTATCATGTTGGAGAATAACACCTTTCCTATATACCGAAGCAGGACACTTTCAAGGTATATTCTTCATCTACACAATCAAGTTGCTGGGAATAAATGTCTGCAGTAATGGCCTTTCCATGTTCCAGTAGCTTGTAATGGATGACATTTTTTATATTCCACTAGACACAAAGCAAGGACTTTCGATAGTCTTAGTTTTGGTGTTGGCACTGGGGAGTTTCTCATTTTGTAATAATAACTGTTTTGTTTTTTTTTATTTACTGTTGACATGCAAAACTTATTTTTTCATTACCTGTAACAATGCAAAGCAAATATGAGAGGTTGGCATTCCTGGTTAAAAGACTGCTCCAGATGGTGGAACCTTTTGTTTGGTTCTCAAGCAAAAGCTCATGAGGAACCCAAATTACCTCTTTGTAAGTTTTTCCAATTAAACTCTGAAATTCACTATAAACAACACATTGTCAGATAGAAGTGATAAGCTAATTCTTGATACAGTTTCCTTCCATTCTACCAGTTTCATTGGTTGACTCCTAACTTATAATGATGGAATATATCATTACTTTCTGAACACTCTAGTATTATATTGATTACAATATTCAAGATCTTAGAACTTTACATTAATATTCAAGAGCTTACAACTTCATAGATAATGCACTGAATATTTGAAAAGTTGATTTTTTCACATATCAACAGTGTTACTTGAATCTCTTACTGTGGTGTAATGGTTAACAATCTAACAATGTTTGATCCTTACAGTATATTCTGGAGTTGTGCTTTTGTGCCACCCTAAATTATTTACTAAGATAGACTTAATAAGTAACTTAGTGCCCACTTTACATCAATAATTAATGGTCTTATCTGACAGACCAGTTCACTTGTAGCCTTTTACAAGATTAATGATAGCTTAACATAAGGATTTCATTGATTGATTTTTCTTATGGCTTATCAACCTTTTGTATTAAAAAAAAACAAAACATTTTTGGATTGTTAGAATTTTTTTTTTTTTTTTTGCAATTGAATATTGTATTAAAAAATTTTGAAGGATAATAATGATTATCAGATACAAGCTCTATTATTTAACCCATAGCTGGGAGGAATAGGTAGATTGATACTTTTCCCAGTGGTATTTGTGTGTAAGTGAATATAACAAATGCAACTAGAATTCAAACTCAGCTTTTCGATTACTCATCCTGAACCTCTTTGCATTACACCACCCCCACATCCAAGCTTACAGCACCTGATATTCCCAAGTGGTCACCCATCTAGGTACTGACCAAACTCAATGTTACTTAACTTTGGTGATCATATGAGAGCTAGTGTTTCAACATGATATAAGGATGCTTTTGCCAAAAGATATTTGCTATTTATAAGTGTCCCTGTCCTCACTGTCTGCCTTCTATGTTAAATATAGTATGTTGTACATTGTGGCCTTGTATGTTAAATGTAGTAAATATCTAGTGGATTTTTTTAATGTAATGGTTATTTAAACTAAACAGTTTGACTTTCACTTTTCTACATAACACAGAAACTTTGCCGTTTTTTTAGATTGTGTTTATTCCCATTTCAAAGGATTTATTGTTGCTTAAGGTGATTTTTTTAAATATGATACACAAACCATGAAAAAGCTAGTCAGTTCTACATTTATTTTTTTGATTGGTTAACAGTTCTTTTTTATAATAAAACCTTACAGCTATAATGTAAAAACACAAAAAACAAAAAAAAAAAGAACAGTCAATTTAAGGGGGGGACAAAATGAACCTTTTTTTTTTTTTTTTTCTTTCTCTAATGCTCAGCTTCCCCTTTTTTCTCCCTTTTTCTCTTTGTCTCTCTTTTTCTTCTAATTTTTTTTTTTTCTTTTCCTTTTCTCTTTCATCCTTTCTGTATCATCTATTTTCCAAAGTATTTCTAGCACATGCTAGAAATAGTTTGTAAAATATTTAATAGAGATGTTTAACCCTAGAACACTAACCATCAATTAAAGTTACACCACTACTAACCATGGGTATGTCATACCTGATTTTGAAAATATCAAAAAAAATATAATATAAATCTTTATTTGAAATATTTTACATGCAGGCACTTCAAACTTTGTACTTTGAGTTAACATTAATAGGAACTGAAAAACATTATTTTGGTAAGAAAATCAAGTACTGAAAATTGTAATTAAAAATAGGAAAATTTGTGCTGGGTACTATATACCCATGGTTAGTGTTCTAGGGTTAATTAGATATTTTCATTTATGCCTATGTGTATATTAAATATGCAAATCCTGGTGTATATCACATTGGGATAACTGAAATAACTGTCTTTTGCTTTTCTATTTTAAAATTATTTTATTTATTGTTCCTTTTTGTCTTTTCAGTATTTAGTATTAAGCAAGAGGTTATTGATGCTGATTACACACCGTCAGAGATCAACAACAACAACAACAGCAGCAGCAACAATAATATTGCAGTGAAACTTGAGAATGTTGTAACTGGAGATGTCACTCCGAATTACAAGGCTTCAGAGCCCGAACCAAGGAAAGAGATCATGGGTTCTACAAATGTTACTGGAGGAAACAACTTTGAAACAAATGCTCAATCATCAAATAGAAAGCGTGCTAAAGAAAAGAAACTAACTTCTGGGTCTCCTCAAGGCACCATTACCCGTGTGCCAATCACGGTATCTGCACAGAATTACCTAAAAAAAAGGAAAAAGTAAATCATTAGTTGGGGATCATATATTTTCAGATTTAAAATGGAAATTTCATGATTTGTCTTTGTTAACTTTGACTCCCCTTCTCAGTCTTTTTCATTTGAAAGGTTTTTTGGGTTTTTTTTTTTTTTTATAGAAAAGTGTTAAAATGTAACAGTTTTATTTCTTGAGGATTTACAAATGCATTTAAAATGAAATAAAAATGCATTTTACAAATAATTAATTTTTAATTAAACAAAAAAACTGCTTCCTCTATAAAGTAAGCTAAGACATTCTAAGAGAAACAATTGTTTTTCCTTTAACTATAAATGCATTTGTAAAATGCATTTTTATTTAATTTTAAATGCCTTTGTAAAAACTGAAACTATTAGCCCAAATAATTTTTACAGGTTAGAGTTGAATATATTAATCAAGATAGTATAAAATAGTAAGAATTAATATCTATGTATTAAAACACTATTTGTGCTGATGATTAAAAAATATGTTTGATGATTTATTTGGCTTTTTCTTAGCAACAAACCTCTATTTGATAAGGAAAGAGAAAAAATGTCCTTGGCCAAATTATTTTAAGGTGCTTATAACTTTGAAATGATATTTTTAAAAATTTTACTCATTTGTTGAGCTTCCATTTTATTTATTGGACTTTTGAAACTTATTTTTGGGGGTTTGCAAAATTTAAGTGATGGCTAAGAGAAGGAAAATAAACAGTTTAGTTTATAATATTCTTTGCTGTTTGAGAAAATTAAATTTATCAAAAGACAAAGCCAAAATGTAACAGATTTTCATACTAAAAATCATACAGATTGTTCATAAGTATTTATATATGTTTACCACTATTTTTATCTTGTCTCTATTTACTGGATTTACAGAGGAATAAAGTGCCTGACTTTAACTTGTTGGTTAAAGCACCTCATCGAAAATAGAAATGGGATGTGATTTGTTTCCATGTGAATAAAATGAATTTTCTATACACAAATTTTACTTGTATTGAAGCATTTAAGTATTTAGTATTCCATCTGTAATTTTGAGAAGTCTTTTATCATTTCAAAAGTTGATTAGCTGAAGCAAGAAAAACAGCACAGTAATTGAATATTAACAGATTCTGGAGTGGTAATGATGTCTCAAAATTGTTCACCTCAACTTCAAAGTTGAAGAATGGATTGCCTGAAACATTGCTGTAAAAAAAAAAAAAAATTTCAACAGTTCAAAGAACTCTTTAAATTCTTTAACATCCCCTTCCCACTCAAAGATAGTAAATTCTCATGGAATTCTAAATGTGATCACTAGAACCTGTGCCTATCCTCATTCCATTACCAATTTTCATTAGCTTATTCATTTGCTCAGAAATATTGTAGAGTGTTGGGAGTACCTCTGATACAAAAATTTCATAGGAAAATTGAAATTCTTTTTCATAATGTAGCCAAGAATAAAATTTATTTTAAATTTTTATTTTAGAGGCATATGAGCATATGGCCATATCACATTGAAACACCAGTTCTTGTACGATCTGATCAGTACTTAGATGGGTGCTGTTTGCAAGTAGTGTCATGGATAACAGCTTCAAATTGAAAACTGGTGAGCTGTGTTCCAATTCTAGTTGGGTTTATTATATTCAGTTACATGAAAATACCCTTTGGGAAATACCCTTTTAAAGTTATGCACTTATTAGTAGGACTTGTATCAGTAAATCATTATTTCCAAAATATTCTTACACTCTAAAACTTTTCTGGCTTTAAAAAACCTGCAAAAGGTTGATAAAACATCAAAAATCAATCAATTTAGAAAAGTATGTATGTCTTAACTCCAACAGAAATATGACTCCTGCCTACCACCCATAATCTCTTATTACTTTTTACTTTTGTTACTTACATTTTATGTAATTTATTAATGCCATCAAAATTTTTAATAACCAGTGTTTGTAATCTGTGGTTCAAAAAAAAGAAAAGCTGTAGTAAATTTGTTTTTTTTTTTTTTTTTTTTTTTTTTTCATAATTAGTTGTTCATCGGCTTGGAAACAAGTGAAATCCTTCTCGTAACTGCACCTGCTCTTCCACAATAAGAATTCTGCCTATAAAAAAAATAGTATCATCAGTTTATATCTTGATAAAATCATTTGCTAACAAAGACTGAGTTTGGGATTTGAGCTGTTTTACAAAGAAAAGAAGCCTTGGAGCCATTTTCATGTTGAAGAAATGCTCTCATTTTAACTCTAGTCAAAGAGCCCTTCCTCATGCAGGAATCTGTGTGGGTCAGGGATTAAAAGTATGGGGAAAATGACTTTTTTTGTTTATTTGATCTATTTTGTATATACATGATTGGTTATTTTGTATATACATGGTTATTTTTAATGCTAAGATAAAAAAATTACCATCTGTTGAAAATATAAAACTATTTTGGAATTTTTATTATTGGCTGTAGTGCTTCCAACCTCTGAGTGATTGAGGTAAATGACATGTTTTATTGTGCATAAGTTGTCTTGTTGAGCTTATATACAAAATGAATGTTTCAATAATAAATGATTTTGTCAGTCCAAAGTATAAATTCAAACAATGATTTAAATGTTTTTTTTTTTTTTTTTTTATACATTCATTAAAATACCTAAATATTGTTAAAACTATTGACTTGGATATTCATTTTCATTTATCTTTTCAGCATTGTTTCTGTAGGTTAATTTTTTTATTTCTTATATTAAAATGACATTCTGATGATTAAATGACTAAGGATTGATTTTGCTAATTCATTTTTCATACCATCAAAATGTTGAAATTGTTTACATAATTATTTTTTGAAATAGATATAATTATACTTAATATTCTTTTTATTAAAATAAATGTAAACCACTTAAATCATGTTATTGGAAAAATGAAATCATATGAATTTTTTGTGGTCCTGTAAATATTCCATATATTTTATATTCAACATTGAAAAAAAAAATTCTGTTTGAATGAAGTGTTTGTAAAAATATATATTTGATCAAAATGTTTGTGTGTGTAAACAGATCTTACTGTTTATAAAACTTAATACTGCTAAAAAGATTTGATGACAAGTTTTTTGTGTTTTAAAAGAAACAAATTTAATATAAAATCAACAGTTCAAAAAAATATCAAACTTTCATTGGAGATGTTTACAGTCTGCAATTTTTTTGAGCTTTGTTCAAGGTTTTATGTTTTTTGTGATTATAATGACTGTACCTTCTTCCTCATACTCCCAATAATATGCCATATTAATAACAATGGTGCTGTTCTTCCTTATCCACAGTTTCAAATTAACCCAGTGTCAACATCAGAAATAAACTGTTAGTTTTAATTGTTAATGATCCCAGATTGTAAGAGTTGTGATACTGGTTGTTCAGATGTGATGTAAAGGGCTTCCTTTAAGTGAAAATGTAAAAGTTTTTGACTTGATAAAAGCAAATCATACACTAAGATTGCTAAAATTTATGGTAAAACTGGATCTTCTGTCAGTATATTATTATAACATATTGTTAGAATTGTTCTATTTCATTATTAGTTATTGTTGCTAATTTTAATTTCCCTAGTTTATAAATTAAACATTATCATGTGTATATATGTATACAAAAAATATTATTCTGCACATTTAGGCAGAAAATTTTCTGTAAGGCAAATGTTAAAAATGACTGACATTTTGAGTCGATTAATTTTAATGATCAACTTTTCCAAATTACAAATAATCCTTCTCAGATAAGAAAGAAATTCTATCAGAAACTGAAGTTTTTTTTGTTTTTTTTTTAAAGAAACGTACAGGAAATATAATCCAAGCTTTCTGGCTTTAAATCATCATTTGTCTCTACCTATCCTGAAAAATATTCATAATTTGGAAAAGTCTATCATTAAAATTAATACACACAAAATGTTTGTTTTTATTAATATTGGCCCTAGAAAAACATATATATGGCTTAGTACTATCCACATTTTCAGGCATCTACTGAGCAGGGACTCTTGGAAAATTTCTGCATAGATAAAAAGGTAACTATTGTAGCTATTATTATTATTATTATTTTTAACTTCTTACATCTTAATCTCGGTTACTTTTAATTGCAATTACTCAGTCATTCTATGGCTGTTGTTTCTTTATGCAATGTTTATGCACAGCCATAAAATGATGGTCTAAATATCTCCAATAAAAAGCAAGTAAAATGAAAGAAATACTCATCAATTAATAATAGACAGTGTCTCCTCAAATAATAAAAATATTCAAGATATTTATAATGCTAGTTTTGTTTGTAACTTTTAAAAGCCATTTTGCTGTTTTCTTTTATTCCCTTCTATGCCAGAGAATCTCTTAGAGATTTGGTTTGGTAGTTTAATTAGTAATTCCTTGTTTTCTCTTTTAGATTTGAATATATGTTAATATAGTGAAAATAGCCTCCTTTGAAACTATTAAATTTTAACATTCTGTATTGAATCTTTTAGATGATTATTGGAAAGTTTTAGACACAATTATCTTAATGTAGCCCAGTCTTCAATGTGAAGTTAAGAGAAAACTATATATAAATTTAGCAAATTCTGATTTTTTATTTTATTTTATTTATTTATTTATTGACAAACAAAAGTAACTGTTAGGTAGAATAACTAATGTTACAAGGATTACATATTGGAGAAAATTAATAAATTATTTTTAGAGTTGTTAAATTTTGAGATTTAAAAAAAAAATCATTAAATGAATTTTTTTTATCAAGTTTTGGGCAAAATTTAGCAAATTTTAATGTCTTTTTTAATCTGATTTGTTTACAATCAAACAGTTTTGTTGGAGCACTTCAACATGGTGTAATGGTTCATAAGCTTCTCTTGCTAGATCAATTACAACTGAGTAGTGAGTTTGATTCTCACTGGGTGTTCAATACATTCAGCCTTGTGCTGCATTGTTTTGTAAATCACTATAACAGAAATTGTTATATATATGATGCCATATCAGAGCAGATAACAAATTCTTCATTGAATTTAATGTTTTATTAAACAAAACATATCTCTGCTCTTTCTCATTACTCTATTACTTTTTTTTTTAAATTCCTGTTCCAGATGGCTGAGAATAGACATAGCTTAGAGATTGATTTCAGTTCCAGAACAATGCAATAGAAGAAACATTTGATTCCAGACACCTGTTTTTCAGTGCATACAAGAGTTGTTTCACTATATTGTAGATTAAGTGTGCAGCAGCAAGTCTATTAAAAAATCAGTCTACATATCTTAGTTGCTCCCAACGTATGACACAGTGCTGCTGGTAAAATGGCAACAATATAAATTTGGCACGAACCTTCAATTTCTTTAAAACATACACACACACACATATATAATAAAAAGGCTTAAACACTAATATTCCATGGTCATAATTTATTCCATTGGAATCGTAAATACGATCCAATTCATCAGACCTACAAATTCAAAAAGAAAACTATATATATATATATATATATATATAAGCAACTTAAGATATTGACCTGTATTTGTGTTGCTTAATTTTTAGTACAAAAATTAGTACTCAAGTTTTTCAAATGGTTACTTAAATTTTTTATGCTTGGTATAATAAATAGTAAAGAAAGGTATTTCAATGGAACTGAACTAGTACAGTACAAAATGATATATGTAACTCTTGTTTTCTGTTTAAACAAAAAATTGCTTAAGCCAAACTGATGTCTGTAGTAGAGTTGCTGAAGATTTAAGCAAATTTGTGTACAGCTACTTATGAACCAAAAAGATTGTGTAAATTGCCTAGTGAACTTTTTTCTTTTCCCACTCAAACTAGCTCAGCCTAATAATATTTTATTTTTATTTTTCTCATTATGGTAGAATCTCATTATCTGGTTAATATCACTTTGACTAAACCAAATAGATTTTTAAAAACCTGGATAGAATTAAAGAAATTTAGGTGGCCAATGTAACTTCTATATTTTTTTTTTTTTTTTTGATTGGACTTTTCTCTTCCTCAGGTCCTAGTGATTTAAATTGATAAATTGATTCAAATCTCTCTCTCTCTTTATATATATATATATATATATATATATATATAACCTAGTGAGCCAGACAAACCTACCCAGGTTTCACCTAAGCGGGTCGTCAGGGAAAGCTTTCCCTGACGATTCGCTTAGGTGAAACCTGGGTAGGTTTGACTAGGTTTGCTCTACGGTTGTATTGAGTTGTTGTTTACTCGTGTCGGGGTTTTTTTCTTTGGGCTTTGAACTTGTATCTGTGCAATTTTTTTCAACAGACTTTCATGTTTCTAGCTCTTTCTTTTTTAAAACCTTTTTCCTTTGAGATTGATTTGATTATTGGCAAATCAAAAATTCAAGGTTTTTGAAACAGTATAGTTACCTATATATATATATATATATATCAAACATTATTATAGTGGATACTCTATATTTGAAATAGATGCCCCATTTTTTTTTTTTTTTTTTTTTTTAAATTATTTAATAAACAATGTACATTATGTTGTCTATCAACCTGCACATTCATTCGATAAATCTAAGTAAAGAAATACATATTCCCTGGAAAGTGCATTTTTCTTTATTTAGATTTCTTGAGGAAAGAGGGCACCTCGAGGTGGTAAATGGCTAGCAAGCTTATCTCGCTAGAACAATTACGATTGAGCAGCGAGTTTGATCATCATTGGGTGCCCCGTAATTTAGGCCTTGTGCCGCATCTAAGCTACGCTTGGAAAATTGCTATTTCAAATATGGAGTATCAACTACAGCAATGCTTGAAATATAAAAAAAAAAAAAAGATTAAAAATAAATCCATAAATTCTTTGTGTGTGTGTATTTATACACACTCACTCATATGGTGCGAGGGATAAATTGTCGTCTAATTGATGCAAAAATGAAAATAACACTGACATCTCATTTTAACATATATTTACCAAAATTATTTTGAAATACTAAAGAGTAAATTTATTCAATAAAATCACCATTGGCTTCAACCACAACCTTCAGATGACTTTGGAATCTCTTGCAACTCTTCTGGACTGTCTCCTTGGTTTAGTTGGTGAATGCTGCCATAATCCTTGCCTTCAGTTCATC